GAAGTACATAACTGACAGCTATAATCGTACCATCAGAGAGACTGTCGGCCGTAGGGTGTCCTCAATTAACTCCGATTGACGCGCCTTCACGATACAGACTGGATGGGACGTTTAGTTTTGTTTTCTTATTTAAATAGGAAGTTGAGAAGTGGTTAAAGCTTCATGAATAGTAACAAAACCGTACTTGACCTAACCTAACTTAACCTAACCCAACCCAACCTAGCCTATAGAGAATTTCTGTTTGAGCAAAATTAAAAATCGAAGCCCTGAACTTCCTCCCACGACAGGAAACTTTTGTCAAACTCTCATCTCATGTAAGTTTCTAATTTGTTTAGTGAATGTCATTTCGTTCTCTAAATACTGTATAACGTATATAATGTATTTTCTTAACTTAATGAAAGCTATACAGTTTATATTATACACTCCTTCAAAATATGTCGTTCAATACAAAGGAGAAACGAATGACTCTCCTGTTGAAATCTGTCAGTGTGTATGTAATGTTGTTTATTTGTCTGTATATATGTCAAACACACACACACACACACACACACACACACACACACACACACACACACACACTGTATCTCTTGAGTAATTTACATACACAACAACACCTCGACGTCTGGCCTCACAAGACGGGACAGCCTCAGAGACAAAAGTGTCGGGGCTCCATAAAGCAACTAATTGGAATTTTAGAATTCAGCCGACGTTTCCCTGGGTGCAATCCGCCACCTCGTTACTAGCTTGTTATTGCCAACTACTGCGCCGTTAACACTACTGAGGCGCGACACTACCATTATGGGGCCCCACGACCCTTCCTATCCTCCCTTACACGACCCCTCTGGAATCTGCCCCGCTCCGTTGATTCTCGTGGGGGAGGGGGTGGGGGTGGGGGTGCCTATATCCCACGTAAGTGATGATATTGGCGTGAATTACCAAGTGCCCAGTCCTGGCTAATGGGGGAAGGGGTGAGGGAGAGAGAGAGAAGAGGTGAGGGAGAGAGAGGAGGGGTGAGGGAGAGAGAGGAGGGGTGAGAGAAGAAGTGGAAGGAGTGTGTTGGAGAGAACCTAGGAAGAGGAGAATGGGAGAGACCTGTTGTCAGACATTGAGAGACAGAAGGAAATTTCACATCATTAAAAGGCCAACACTTTCCTACTTATCTACGTGTATGCACTTCTATAATATATAACTGACAAATAAACAGCGTATTACTTACATATTCATCTACATATATCAACACTATTATATAACTTTTACATATTAGTGAACTCGTTAATAGGACAACAGATTCCTTTCGCTTGTGATAATGAAGAAAGAATATGATAAAACATAATAAAATTGAGATTTTAATAAAGAAGAGAGCAGAACACAACATGATAGTGATTAATCAATTTTACATCATTATATTAAAAATACCAGGAATGCAATCAATCACACATCTCTCAGACGACAAGGTGAGTGTGATCCAATTGTCCTACGGGAACCTGACAGTCTTCCACACCTGATGTACGATTTATGGTCCAGGAACCTCACCTCACCTCACCTCGCCTCACCTAGCCTGACCTAACCTAACCTAACCTAACCTAACCTAACCTAACCTAACCTAACCTAACCTAACCTAACCAAATCTAACCTAACCTAACCTAACCTAACCTAACCTAACCTAACCTAACCAAATCTAACCAAACCTAACCTAACCTCAAACCACAACAGTCACTGAACGTCACTCTGGGTGGAGAGTTAAAATAGAAGTTACTAAGTTATTTACCTAGGGGAAACACCTGTAAATAAACATGACTCATCGTTTTCTTTTGATGATGCTTACCTGTGATCTGTCCAATGTTGGTTGATTCACGTATTTTCACCAAACATTAACATTGGTTATAATTAAACTTTAAACTAGATTATAATAAGATAATATTACTTCAGTACAAAACTTACTTTGATGTTTGTTATGAGTGACTCCTCAGAGACCCGAGATTGACTCTTTTACTTAAACATATATTGAAGTATTTGTATTTAACACGTTGACTACCCAAGGTTAACACGCCACACTCAGTAGCAGTTAACATACAGTGTGTGTGTGTGTGTGTATGTGTGTGTGTGTGTGTGTGTGTGTGTTGCTGTTGTTCGCTGCCAGGTATAATGTTTCCTAGTCCTATAAAGTGCATTAGATTATTTGTTTGTTGCGTCAATTGATCATCATAAATAATATGGATACCATCATTCCAGCAGCAGATATGAGAGTTGCGGATCTCTGTTCTAAATAACATTGATGCGATGTTTTCTTTTGATCGATTTAACACACAGACACAAACACACACGTCGAGTATACTTATTAAAATAAACACAGGAGAGATAAGTCTTACCTTGTGATACCAGCTGACCTTCTTAACGACAGGATTGGCCTTCAGGTTGCAGATCATCGTCACGTTCTCTCCCTCCGTCATACCGTTTGGCTCAATCTCCTCCAACAGCTCCAAATTCACCTCGGGAACGTCTGTGGTGGTAGTGGTGGCGGTGTGGTGATGTGGGGATGGTGATGTGGGGGTGGTTTTGGTAGTGGTAGTGTGGGGTAGTGGTGGTATGGGGTGTGGGGATGGTGATGGAGATGTGGTGGTGTGGGGGGTTGGAGTGGTGTGGAGGGTAGTGGTGGTGTGGGGGTGGTGGTACTGAGCAGACCTCCAATTTAGTTAGTGTTATTGTTTTTTTACCATAAATTATGAGGAGTTTAAGTTAATTATATTCTGTTATTTTACTCTTTAAATAAGTTTCACGGATTATAGTTATTTTATGAGGCAACCAAAAAGAAGTAAATGTACCAGTAATTGTGTAATTATGTGGTGTGATGGTATGGTAGTTGGTGGTGTGGTGGTGGTGACACTGAAGATGGTGGTGGTAGTAGTGGTGATGTTGGTGGAGGTGACGGTTGTGAAGTTAATGGTGATGATGGTGACCAATAGTGAGGAAGATGTTCATATATAGAGTATGGGGGGGGAATTAGCCAGCGAGGGACTGGCCCATAGAATGTTTAGGTTCCAATAGACACCAATTTAATAGTTCACCATAACGATGACAGAGACAAAGTGGGTCCTTTAGGTGTAACAGCCCGTAAAAGATAAAGTGTATACAGCACATTGGTTGTGTAACTGGCACTACACTCAACCTCCTTCACTTCCCCAACTGTAACGTTAAGTACCCATTCACACCTGGGCGGACTGGGCGGACTGGGGGGGTGTCCTGGGCGCGAATCAGAGACCAGTAGAACAGGAACAGTGTATCCACTAAGCCACCGCAGACATAAAATAGGACAGAGAATGGTAAAAATAGGTGGCTGAAGGAGGTAAGTTAAGGTTAAAAGAGTTTTACTGACACACACACACACTGGTGGTATTAGAGTGAGTGAATTAATATAAACACAGCAGGAGAGATACCAGCTCGTGGGGCTTTCATTATGGAGGAGTGAGAACAGAGCTAAGATAGGTCACTGTGTCTCCTTTTAGATACTACAGTATATTGATATAAACCCAAGTTCTATTTGTATCACAACTACAGCAACTCTGGGTGTTGTTAACCAAGAACTGTGGGGGCAGCTCTCCACCTCCTGCCTCGGGGTGAGAGCGGTAGTCAAGGTAACACGAGACTTAACATTTTTAAAGGGTTTTTAGGTAAGACGGAGAGAAGGATGGAAAGAACGTCTAGAAAGAAAGGGAGATTAAATTTGTAAGCTCTTCTGCCAAGTTCAGAGATGACTCGATTCCAGAAGAGAGAGAGTGAGTTAAGGTCGGCCCTAAAACTTTGATGCTGGGTGGAGGAGAGTGTAATTCGATATTACTGAAGGGGAGATGGAGGAAAAATGTCTCGGGTAAAAGTGAGTATTACTTCTTGGGTTTAAAAAAAGATAGATGACAAAATTAGTGAGGGTTTTGGGGAGCAATAAGACCAAAAAGGGGAATAAAAAGAATATTTGCTTAATAGATACCTGTAATATATACCTGTAATATATAAAGGTGTGGGAAGACAAGATAAGCGACATAAGATAAGACTGAGGTTAGTGTCGTCTAAGTCTGTATTGATTCAGTTGTTGGAAGGATGTTCCTGGTGAGGGGATGAACAGGTTAGGGGCCAGCACAGTATCCTGAGGAACTCCAGCCACAATATGGAAGTCAAAATAGGATTCATTTACAAATAAAATAATGATGTGATTGAAGAGAAAGAAAACATCCAAGCAGACGATAGAACAAATTAAGAAATAAAAGCCATACGAAGGAAGTTTGACAAGGACCTGAAGTTAAACCGTTCTTGACTGTCTTTCAGGTATATAAGTGGTAGGCAATGTGGTGTAAATGTGTTCAGGGAATTCTGCTTCATATACCTCTGATGACACTGATTTTGGAGTGAATTTGTGTCCCATAAACTTGACGACTCGTTAGGGAGAGTGTGGATTCAGTGACCTAATGACTCTGCGTGTTTTGGGCACTCTGAGGTACCGTATCCTGCACCGTGCTCGACTACCTTCACTTCCCAGCTGTTGAATCTGGTGCTTATTCACAGCTGGGTGGACTGACGGTACCTCCTGCACGAATCAACGTCCCGCAGGGCAGTAGGTGAAAGTCGTACCCTCTTGTCTACCTCTATATTTTTTAAGTCAGTTTGTTAAAGCTATGTGATGGATAATGAAGACATTATTGTAGGCTTAATATGAATTAATTTTCGTGAAGTTTTTTATATCCGTAAATGGAGTGGTGAGTACAGGGCCAGAGGGAGACCGACCACATTTCTGTCCAGGATTACTAACACTATTCGTTCAGTGTTTACGATTGTGTTTCCAATAATCTGTGTTATGCGTTTGACTATTGGGCTTTTTTGGGGGCATAACAAGACTCAAGTATTTTGCCGTGACGAGTAAATGTATATTCTATATGTATGAGAAAAGAGGTAAACACATATATTTACATTCCATAAATAATAGTTTATGTTATTCTTTTGTCAATGGTGGAATATTTAGAACTAAGATTCCAAGTATATCAGAGTTCACCAAATAAAACTACTTCAGTGACAATTGATTCGTGATTAGTATCTGGGATCACACAGTACAGTAAGTCAGATACGGTAATAGAAGGAAGACAGTAACCACAAGACCTAGGGGAGCATTTAGAAGGTGAAGACGTAGAGGTTTGGGTGAAGGATAAGGAAAAGGTCAGAAATGTTTGCCTCATCTCCAGGAAGGTGATGGACTTGGCCAGCTGCTTGACGCCGCTGGGGAGGGGAGAAGGCTTCATCCACTTCAACAAGATTGTGAGGGAATTCTTGGATACGATTTTATAGCATCGTGAATGTCAGTTTTGGAAATGAGGTCCCACATGAAATTACAGAAATATTGTAGGAAAGTATTACAGTTTTGATGTCCTGTGGCCTTCTCTTCAGTTGTGAAAGAATTGGTGAAGTGGATGGATACTATTGTACATCTAAACTGTACTTCTTTTAGTTTCTGTATTTTGGTGTGACTCAGTCGGCGTCATGAGCCAATAGTAATGTCATCAATACTATCAATATCAGATATGAGGAATTTCAAGACATAATGCAAAAAAAAATCTTAGAGAAAAGGTTAACAAAAAAATAAATGGTTAAGAGGTTCATCATTTCAAGTTGGTCTTTATAATCCCCTCAGTAAGTCAGTCAGTCAGTCAGTCAAGATTGATACTCATAAAACTAATTGACGCAGCTAAAAATATATTTAGATGAGTAAGAAAACTTTTGAACTTTTGAACAGAGGAGAATTTGAACACTGGAGCCTTGACGTCTTCTTGCGTTTACTGTGATGCTCGGTGATGATAGTCGAGGTGGGAAGCGAGATCGAAACTGACAGCAGATAGCATACATAAACGCTGGGGGCGGGAGAGGAGGGAGGGAAGGAATCTGAATTTAAAAACTGAGGGAGGAACAGGATCAAATTAGCAGCTGTGTTTACGTTCCATGATAGTGTAAATAATCGATGATGATGATGATGATAATGATATTGTTCTCAGTAGTAGTATGGATGGTGATGATGGTGTGAGAGATGGTTGTAGGTGATAGTGTAGATGCCAAGGGTAATCAGTGATGGTGAAGGTGGGTAAAAGTAGGGATTGGAGTGACTAATGATGATGATGATGGTGATTTTTTTATGGTAATGAATACTAATGATGATGATGATGATGATGTTTATGGTGATAATGGTGGTGGTGTTGGCGATAATGGTGGCGATGGTATTGATGGTGATAGTAGTAAAGTGAGAGTAACTTTTAAGAGATAGTAAAGATAAAATATTGGCCTTAACGGTGGTGATTATGGTAATGTAAGTACTAAATAATGGTAGTTTATTTGACATGGTACATGGTAATCGACACTTCCGGTTGTAGGCGTTAAAAAATAACACACCAACACAAATAAAATGATAATATTGTCATTTTCTTGACTTACTCTGAGGATGTTATCGAAGTATAAGCGACCCAAGAATGTAAACACAGAGTACTTCAAGACCTCGGTGGGGAATATTTACATTACTGAATGTATGGGTGGATTTATCTGTTTATGTTATAATTTATGTCTGTTATTGACAATTTGCGTTTATTGATCAAGTTTATGTTGCAATATTACCATAACAGTGATTATATAAGTACATGAAACATCTTAATACACACACACACACACACACACACACACACACAAATAACGTTCAACTTATAATACGTGTTTCATTACAATTAACCTCCCCACCAGCGCCACCTTATGGGAGAGTCACGTCAGCAGCAAGACAATTATTGCAGCAGCAGGAAGACTTTGATCAATATTGGGAGGGGCGAGATCCAAGGGCTGACTGACCGTCTGCTATATTGGCCACTTGAGGCAGGGAGAGGAGAGCGCAATAAGCATTAAGCATTAAACTGACGTGGTATTGGTGGTGGGGCGTCCATCACCTGCCACCAGGAGTCCTTACACACACACACTCTCGTGGTTGTCCCTCGTGTTCTAGGCTGGCCGGTCCTAGTACACCCAGGGTTTTACTTTATTTAACGTATGGAAGACCGGACAACTAGCCAACTGCACTGGCTAACCATTATCCGGTAATACAATCTCCAAATGGCGTAAAGAAACCTGCCCATAGTTTCATCCTGCCTGGGAATCGAACCTAGAACCACTCTTTTGCAAGGAAAGTATGCTAACCATTACACTCCCCCACACACGAACGTATGCCATTACCCCCTCCCCCCCCTCCCCTCCCCACACAGCATTGTAAGTGACACGCGCCTCGAATGAAAACTTGGCGTCAACTTAATAACCTCAGGTGAACAAGTTAGCGAACATTAGAACTCATAATATCTTCAAGGGTCACTGTCGCTCTCTCACTTTAGACATCAAAGTAAAATTAGATATTGTAAAGAGTGAAATTTTTCATGACTGCTGAGAATGTATGTGATATTTTCTTATTTTTTTGAGACGGGGCAGTTAAAACGATCT